AAAAAAACCAACTTCGAAGAGCGATCTACTCCAAGTTTTGAAGCAAGAGGGGGCAAAAATCCCACAATCTAAAATTGACGAGATGATTGTCACGATGCCCCAAAGGATCAACGAACTCCACGAAGCGAAAGGATGATCTACTATATATTAATTAAAGTATAAATATATCAATTCATGTGAATATGACTGAAAATTTTCATTTTTTCTGAAAAGGTGGTGCCTATTTACTTGTGACCACGCTGTGTATATTCGGAACAAGTTAAACGTATGTACAAGAAATTCTTTACACTATAGAGATTGTAGGCAAATCATAAATACTATATATAGTTCTCTTCTTGTTGTCAAAAGTCCACTTGGGCCTTTTCAATTACTTTAAAATTTCAGTTGACAAGTCGAACCACCTCTTTCTATTTCAATCGCACTAATATTTCATGTATACTTCACTTACAATTATAGCGTGAGTAACCACAGTCGTATATTTCTCTTCCAGTAATCATCTGGTCCTCGTATTTCAGATAACATCTGTTCATTTTGTCAAAGTGCACTCTGACTGGTTCAATTACTTTAGAGATCGCTTTGACGAAATAAACTATACTTCTCATCTCTTTTAAAACTGTTAGTTTTCCTCTAACATATTAATCGTTAGGCCTTTCACTCCTACAGCAGTTAACTTTTCTTGGCCGAACTTTTACATCCCGTGACTTTACTTTTTCGTCTGCTGCTTCCTCTCATCTCACATCACTTATATGTTTATCACTTAATTGTCTGCCCACCTTCTACAAATCTCCATGTCATTGACGTCATTGTATTGCATGCAACATTCGATAGTCTCAACATCAATGAATTATAAACATAACTTCCAACAATCGCCTGCTTTTAACTCTCTTATTATATATATATAATGCAAAACAATAATAAAACATTAACTCACAAAATAAATAAATTAATACTATCTACACTAAACAGTCCTTTATATCATGACACTCTGTCACACTGAATCCAGAGAGACAATATCCTGCTTAAACCTTAGTAGGGAAGACCATAACTTTCAATTACTGAGCCATAAAGCATACAGTTCTTGTGTGAATGATACCACCTGTTTTAATTGGTATAAATTCAGTGTCAGTGACTGCAAAAATTCTGTAAACAACTGTAGAAATTTTAAAACCACATTATTTGCTTCAATATTTTTTCACACTGACCCTTTTAACACCAAACCTTTGGGCTCTGCAATCTGTTGGAACGTGTGTTGTGTTGTTTCACTATTTCAAACGTGTTTCGCCACTTTGTGTGTAAGCAGGCTGATAGCAGTTGCAAAGAGCACTGGCATATGAGTCTACAAGATGGTAAATACCATGGCTAGTAGATTCCATTGCACTGTGCAACAATTTGCTGCTTCTACCACTCACTCAGCTTTTATGGCAAACCTTAAAAGATCAAATTCTCCTGAACGAGACTGGTTACACCTCTTTTTGTTCAGAAAGAATGGTAACTGGATTTCTAAACCCAGTGTGTAAAGGAGATTCATTGCATTCCTAAAAACTCAATCCACAACAGTTACGTAACGTAACTGAATCCAGGTGTGAATGTTTTCAATATGATTTTAGAATATGTGATGAGTAATTACTGCATCATAACAAGATAATAAATGGACAAACAACCAATTCATTGCACCAATATGTGGATAACATCGTTATTGATTTGACAAGTGGCCGCTACTTTGCACGTAATTTCGTCTTTGTAATGTATACTCGGCACTTTCCTAAATATACACGTTCTTGGCATCTACAACAAGTATGGCAACACCTCTGTTCCTTTATGCCAAAAGGTCTCATGCAAGAAGATGGATATGGTAAGACATCAATTTATGGTGGCTGGTATTTCCAAGCCAAGATACAGATGAATAACAATGGGTCACCAAAGCAGTATTGCTCTACTTAAATGAAAAATTATTTTCCAAAATCTGAATTCTTTTGCATAACTCTGTACGGAACTTAGCACAACAAAAATCCAAACAGGTTCTCAATAACCTTAAATGAGTATTCCTCAAAGATGAAGTTACTGAATAAAGTTAATCAAACTGAGAATTGGTCAGTCCATTCACATTCAAGTATTCACCATCGATTAGCTTTTGAGATCTATCAGTTTATTCTACGTGAACTTTCTACTGCTGCTAAGCTTCTCCAAATAATAAATTGCATCCATCTGTTACAATTTGTATGGTCTTTCGTTTTTGCATTTATCAAGGGAACAACAGTTAGCTAAGTACATTTGGGGCAAATAACACATCTGATGTGACTGTTGTCCAGTCTTAAATGCTTAGGACTTGAAGAATCTGGTTGCTTGAGGATGTACTTAAAATGTAATGTGAAGATGGTGCACAGCATTTAGAATATTAGTATTGTTGATGGCACTCGTCTTCAGCAGAGGTTTTCTTCTCTCTTTTAGTTCACCATTACATGGTCCTAATATGTGCCTTCTCTTTTAAGTCCACACTTAACATGGCTTACTGACACATTTGCATTCCTTTGGCATGACATCTAATTTAAAACGAACCTTGTAAACACAAAGTAAGCAATGACAAAACATTATCCACAACTATAACCTCTGAATAATCTAAATGTATAACCATTGGAGTTGGGTCTACTGAGCAAGTTATTTTCATTCATCTGAATGACACTGTATGCACATAATGGGCTACACGATCAGGTTACGGATGCCTATGTTTCAGTTAGAGCCATCCCTACTTTTGAACTGTGGACCAAAGGGAAGATAGCCAGTTGGCAAATTCTGCCACCTGATGAAGCTACTCTTAATTGAATAGTGAGATTGACTCAAGCTCAAGACCTTTGGGTTTCTAGTCTGTTGTGTTAATCGTTAGGCCACACTTGGGTCAAAAAACAAGTTGTGATTTCATTGACTGATATTAAGAGTGCACATAAGATGAGTGTTTGGTCAACCATTACCCCTTTTTTATGTTGTAAATTTACAATGTAAAAGGTTAAACACTTTGAAACAAAACAAACTATTCTTGACACAGACAGTTTTTTTTTTACAAAACAACCAGCACCATCTTTAAACAATATCATGTTTTAGTAGTTATTGGATCTTACATTGATAAACATAATTTACAAATTGAAGAATATCTGCAGAGTAGGGTACATTACCTTAAACTGAACAAAAGTAAATAAGTAGGCCTGCAGAAGATTTGATACACTTTGATAAATAAAGAAAACAGAGCAGTGGGCATACCAAAGATTCAATATACTTGGAGAAATAAGGATGTGGCAATAGACGAGTTCATTTCTGTAAATAAATTCTATGCTAGTTCCATTTCCAGATGAAACATCTACATGAGTACAGGTTTTTTTTTACTGTCCCTTTTAAGCAAAAGTCCAGCATTATGTGCTCAAGTGCGATCAAAATAATTCATCCCATACCAAATCATTTAAATGTTAAAATTATCAGAAGCTTATCATGATATTTTATCAGAAAATGTTTATACTTTAGTAAAAATGTTTTCCTCTTTTTCTTTATAGTTATAAGGAAATAAAGCAGCTTACAGTTTTAAAACTGTACGAAATAAATATTCAACACTATGCTGGTTTTATTATTATTAATTCAAACGATATATTTTCTGAGTTTCCACATGTAAGATTAAAATTATTAATGAAAACAGAAATACAACTTATACTTGTACCAACGTTTATTCCAAACAAAATGTTGCTTATCTACATTGAGGAAAAAAACAAATATTTCTTGCTTAGATCTAAACAAAAATTTAACAAACCTACAAGTGACAGTAAAAATCACAGCTATATTGAACTTTTCTTCAGCACACTGTAAAATCAAATTCACTGAAAAAAAAAGAAAGAAAAATACCCATGTTTTTAAACCATTAAGTGTTACAATATTAAATAACCTTAATTACTTAGTTACAACTATGATATGATATAATGAACTTAAACTAGTGAATAACAATGGTTGATAAACATGATTTTTATCAGGTCAGGAAATGTAAAGTCTCAGATGTTGACATTAAGCATTCCATTACACCATCATATTTCAAGCTAGAACAATAATGAGCAATTGCACATTACCATTATCTAAAACAGCAAAATTCACTCAAAACTTGACAAATTCTATGTTAATAGAGTGTCTTTGCAACAACTGTTAATAAACTCGCTAGCCATTTGTACTGTATCATATACAGAGTTGTACTCTAATGATAATTTCACAGTACAGATAGTTTACAATGGTTTAGGTGATCTACTTAATGAAGTTCTGATTACACAGCTGCTATAAATACAGCATTTCATAATAAAGCATAAGTCACATAAGCAAATAGACATAAAAATGTCCACAATTGTAGTTTTAAACAGTGAAGTGAAATATCAATTTTACATCCTGAAATCAACCACTGAACATTTCAACATGATCTAGGATTAATATTAAGTTTTATATGTCTCATAAATGGTCTTAGATAACAAGATAACCTGGATTAATAAATAAGCTCGTAAGGACATAACCAAGTCTTGGAATAACTAGTCAACTTAATGTTCCTCTGTTACCTTGTTTAACAAATAATTAGCACAGAATACAACTAGAACTGTGAGTAAATGGTACAATCCTTGATATTCTAACAGCTAACTACACAACAAAACAACTGAATATTTTCTCAGACCTTGGGTGAATTAAATATTCCTAAGTAATGAATTTTAACTATAATAATCAACAACTAAGTATTTCATCATGAATGGTACTTAATTTCAAACTAACAATAAAACACTGAAGATCCTGCTCTGATTAAAGTTAACATTTTCTGTGCCTGAAAATGTATTTCTGATAGAAACTTAGCTCTCTTCACACAGCACCTATTCCTCCTGCATTTGCCTTTAAGATTTTGTGTATGCCACTAGTCTTGAACTATCTCCCATCTAAGATATGTGTTTTAGCATGAACTGCACCAGTGTGTAATATAATCATCATGTGACAAACAATAGTTTTCCACCAATAGCTGGGTAACATATCATCCATGCATAGTAAACCCCCATAAGCATTTGCATTCAAAATTAACTTCATTAATAGACAAGGCAAGAATATCATGCACTGATAGCAGGAAGGAATGTTGGTGCACGAAGAGAGGTAAGTATCTATCAGAAATATGTTTTCAGGTAAGGCAAATGTTAACTTCCAAAACAATATTCTTACCTCTCCGAACACAGTAGATAGAATTCCACAATAATTGCAAAAACTAAGTGAGTTCTCTTCAGAGAAGGCTACTGAAAGGGAAAGCTCATTGCATGCGACATGTGAGCAAGTGACCAATGGTTCAAATGGGGCTTGGGTAAAAGTGTTTAAAACCACATTAAAATTACAGTCAGGCAAAGGAATCAGATGAGGAGGACAATAAATAAGGAAGGATCAGAACAAGATGGAAAGAACAGGGGAGGAAAATATGGAATCATAGCAAAAAAATTAAAAGGCTTTCAACAAGGTCATTTGATAGCATACTAAGGCAGAAATCAACAATCCTCAGTCAAACAAGAGAAAGGTGTGCCCAACCCATAAGAGATGCATCACAAAGATGGAGGCAGCAGTGGAATGCCAACCATTATGTTGGTATGATCCAGTCTACAAGACAGATCCTCAAGAAGAGAAGGCGGCAGCATCACAAGTGAGGGCAGTGGATGGTAGGAGATATTTCATTGGTCACTCAAAGTCCATTGAAGAAGTCTCATGTGAGTGGGGTGTAAAGGAACAAGATGTTTGAGAGACTCAAGAGTCCCCAAAAGAGATAGAACTTCTTGCACAGGAAGTATAGGAAAGGAAAGAGTTGAGGCTACTAGATGCTTCATGTCTCACAGATGAACAGGGAAAGGCTGAGTCAAGAATTGAAAAAGCCTCCAAGGTGGACCAAGTATTAGGTCAGAGTGAGGAACAAATTGGAAGATCCGACCAACCAACCAAGATAAGCAGCTTCTTGTAAGAAAAGTGACTTGGTTGAGAAAGAAGCCTTCTTAGAAGAGGTGAGCTGAGGAGAAGCCAATTGACTACATAGTAATGAAAATAAATTCTAAGACTGTGGATGTGAGATCAAATGCTCCCATGACTTGGTTGAATACCTACAGAGCCAAAGCACTGCTGAAGAGGAAAGCTTGAAACTGGTACACCTGATCCCAGGGAATAATAAAGAAAAATGTCGGGATGACTGGGTAATTGCAATATATGTATAAAGCCATCAGTGATGTTGACATTGTTCATCCACAGTCTGGGGGTAAAAGGCCAATGGAGAGGAAGAAACTCCTCCATCTTGAACTGAGCTACCACTAGATTGTGGTTGGGAGGAGAAAGGGATGCCAGTCCCTGGTCTTTTAGGGAACAACAAAAAGACAAGAGTAGAATCCTGGAAAGGGACAATGGATTCTTTCCATGGCTCTCTTATTCAAAAGGTCTGATACCACAGCCTTGAGACACAGAATATACTGAGGACTGGAAGGGGGAAGAAAAGGAATGGGAAAATGAGACAAGAGGAAGAAATAAGAAGTGTAGAGAAAAGCCCCTGTGTAAGAACTGGAATGATTCACTGTGTGGCTGCAAATGGGGTCTAGAGATCTTCAAGCAGAAACAGATGTGCCACCTTGGGGCCTGAGCCACCTGGGTATAAAGGGAGGTAAGTCATTAATGGGATATGTGATGGAAACTTGACAGGAAAGGGGACAGCAAGAAGTAGAGGGTCAAGAGTTGGAAAAAGAAAAAGAGGTGGAGGGTTCACAGGTTCAAGGAATGTGTGTGGATTCACAAGGTTGGGAAAGATGAGAAACCATGGAAGAAAGGGAGGACTGGTGTTAGGCAGCCTCAGTCTGAGTCTCCAAGGTGTTAAAAAAACTGCTAAAGATTCTATTTTAGATCAAAGGATAGGAGCTAGACAGAGGGCACAGAGAGAATAGCATCATGCCCCAGAAGATCCCAACAGAGAAACTAAATAAGCAGGGACAAAGCAAAAGATGAAACTCTGGTTAAGGTATTGAAAATTACCAACTGTAGGTCTCCAGAAAACTTATCAAAATCACAGTGTAGGATTTCAGAGAAGAGAGGATAGGTAACAAACGAGATGGGTAAAAAAAAGGTGAAGATGGGAAAATTGATCACTAGAGAATTATTGGAGACAATAGATTAGCCCCCCCAAGTTGGTAAAAGGAACTCAAGAGATTAGTAATATCAGAATGGAAAAGGGGAACTACCACGAGTTATGGTAATGAAATCCTGGAGTCAAGGAGGATGAGACATTTGAAAATGTAAACAAAGCTGATCGAGAAACATGTCAGCATGTACCCATATGTCTGCAGAAAAATTCAAATAATTCTCAGCATAAGAGCCACTTAGTAAGGAACAAGAAGAATCAAAAGACATGGGTGAAAGGGAAAATAAAGAACAAACCTGAGAAGTCAAATCCATAAAAAAATTTGGAGGATGGACAATGTCCTCTACAGGTAAAGAAGAGCCTAGTGCAAACCTGTCAGGTTCAGTAAGGAAGATGAACTTCCGACGTAGGGACAGGAAGATGAGGCAATGAATGCATTAATGAACCCATGATGCATTGAACAATGGCAGTAACATCCTTCACAGTCAAGTAGCCTACAGTGGCCACAGTAAGTAGCGTTAGTGTTAGCAACATCACCAGAACCTTGAGAGAAGGTAGTAGTTACCATCACTTGAGAATTCATTTCTATTAAAGGAATTCTCCAGATTTTTTTTTTGTATGCAGTAAATGAAAGGCAATGTAGGTTGAAATCAAATACAATGACAGAAAGTTAACACTGAAATGTAGGCAGTGTAAATCTCACTACACTGAACAAAATTTAAACTTCAATAAACACATCTGTTCATAAGTGTTGAGAAAAAGAATGAAGTTAATTTCGAGTGCAGGCACTTATGGGGATCTACTATACATGGAGGATGCGTCACCCTCCTATTGGTGGAGTACTATTATCACATGATGAATACATTGCACACTAAGGCAATTCATGTTAAAACACACATCTTAGATGAGAGATAGCTCAAGGTCAGTGGCATGCATAAAATCTCAAATGCAGATTCATGAGGAATAGCTATGTGCAGAGAAGTAAGGATATCATTTCTGAATATAGTATATTATATTATGTAAGGTCTGAAAATTGATTCATGCAACAAACAACCACTGAAGACTTCAAAGAATTGGGTAAATGGTTCACTTCTTAATGGTTGAAATTATTTTAGCTAAAATAAGACACTGAAAATCATATCAAGAATTTGGATAAATGGTCCATATCTCAAAGTATATTGGTTGATTGAAGACTGATAACTTGAGTTCATGGATGGTTAAAATTAGATTGCTGAAAAGTTTCATCACTTTAGAATATTTCTTTGTACTTTTTGTACAGGAATCATAATTTTGGTTTAGTGTACATCTGCCAAAACCTCACAATCAATAAATATTTTAACCTGGTCCTCATAATTTCATTTCAACAAATATCTTAATTGAACAGTGAATCTCCAACTAACTTGAGATTGTGAGTACATAGTTTGATTTTTCAAGTCTGCAAACTATCTTCATTAAGAAACAGCTACTAAGTTCTTACCTTAAACATGGATGAATAATAAATTCTTAAGCTCCAACTTTCATAATCAACCATTTAAAATATCACTATGACCTACAATGACTGTTACATTATTAAATATTGAAAATAATCATGAATAAAATGAAAATAATGAGATGTCACTATTACTAAGAAAAAACTGGTCCACTTTTTAAGATTAGACAATAATATTCATAAGAAATAAGTATGTGAAGGTATAACTTGGAACAAAAGCAAATGACCCCTCTATAAAGATATAAAAATGATTTTTATACTTAGCCATTAAATATCTTAAAATGAATAAATAATATACTCATATTAACTGGAAGTAAAAATGGTTAATAGTGAAAAAAGTGAATTTTTCCAAACAACTAAGGAAGAATAATTAATTGCTTAAAAACTAAAAAGGAAGTCTAATAAGTGATAACAAAACAGTGCTGATGTGGTTGTACTAAAAAAAACGTGACACAAAACTGTCTCAGTACATTAAAATTATACCTGAGTAAACTTTGATAGGGCAGCTAAAAGCAAAAGATAGTAAAACAAACACACACACACATACAAAAAAGATCTCATACCTTAAACTTTTTACGTTAAACATGAACCAAAAAACATCAGCTTTAGACTATCTATAGTGTAGTAGTACTTTAATGGTGTACACCAGGGTTGTCAAACTTTATGTAGTACCAGGTCACAAATATTTCAAGTGTGGTCTTGGGGGCTATACACTGACTATTGATGAAAAAAAAACTATCATGTTTTCATTAAAATTTACATGTATTAGGTACTAAAGTAATAGCTAACAAATACTATATAACTAAGCCTCAAAGTCCAAGATACTACAAATAAGCTTTATTTTTAACTTCATTTTTTTATTTTTGATTGGTGGTTAGCAGTCTAGGCAGAATGGCCTCATAGGTCAGATGGGGCCAGCAGGCCACTAGTTTAGGTAAAACTTTCCTGACAAGAAATCACTATTTGATGTATGATACGTTATGGGTGGAGGGTTGGGCAATTATCAAAGAAGACTTCATACAATCCTAGATAATGTACAACTAAAGAGAAACTAACAGTTTTAGATTTGATGCACATTCTTTTACACTAGATAGACTTTAACAGATCACTTTTAAAATGCAGAGGTTTAATAATCCACAACGAAAACAATAAAATTAAGTGAATTAAAAACATTACATTTAAACAAGTACTATTCAATGGTCTAACAACAGAAAAACTTTGATACTTTAAAATAAAATCATGTAAAACTACAAAAAGGTAATTATAGTATCAGCTGTTTAGAGCTGAGCACTGGTCAATAAAAAAAAGCATTCAACAGACTAGTTCATAGTGGGTGAATAAAAAAATGCTTTATTAAAACTAAGGAAATGAAAAAAAGGGGGGGGGAAGAGTCAAAGAACCAGACTTGTTAGCTAACAGCCTTCTTCGTAATATTCACTAATGAAAGATAAAATTCCATAACTATTTTTTCATTATTTGTTTTTCAGTCTTTATTTGGCTTTTAGTTTTGGGTTTCTGTTCTATTCACAAGCTTATCAGTTATCTTTTAATTACACAATCAGTGTGGCAATGTAAAAACTCTCTCTCTTTTCTTCATAAAAGTATTTCTCATATACAAATGATAAAACTAAAAATTATCAAGGAAATTATGTTATTCTCTTCAAATTACAAGCAAACAAATTTTTATTTTCCTAATAAATATTTAACATCACACTTTCAGAATATAATTGTAAACACTTTTTGCTTCACATGAACAGTCACTGCTTGTATTCATATATTTTACTATAGATCCTTGAGGCTCTGTCCTAAACCAACTGACACTGATACTACTCAGTGTTAATGAACAGCTCAGATATGCTATAGCCTTGACCTGATGTCAGTAAAATGTCTCTTCCCCACATACCTGGGAATTTATTGTAGTTTTGAAAACTATAAAATAGCTTAAAATGGTGAATCTTTTATAAAATATTAATCAGTTGATTTATTTTGAAAATAAATCATATACCAAAATCCTTATTGAATTCTGTATAACTACTATTTCTAAACTCAACTAAAAGTGAACTAAATTATTTCAAAGGTTTAATATAAATAACAACATCACAATTCCAGATGAAAATAAATTAAACTAATGCTGCTCATCTTTCATAAATAATACAGATCTTCGTTTATGATTTAACAAATGGTTTAAGTCACAAGCTGGTGTGTATAAAACATAAATAAACAAACAAAATATTTTAATTTTGTAAATATAAATGTCATAAAAATATATTTAATATCTCATCAGTCTCAATGAGTTAGAATTTGAAAAAGCATATCATTCCAACATGTGTATTTTGAACATACGTGTATTTCTAATAATTTCATCCAATACACATTACGGAACTTTAAGACATGGACGGGGACTATATTCATTCATGAGCAAATGGTCACAACACAGAAAAAATATTATTAGTCTAAAAAAAATATACACATATAGTCCATGTAATCATATTTTTAAAATCCAAGTGGATTTCTAAGGTCTGCCTCTGACAAAGTTTCACATCTATATAACATACTAAACATAGATAAACAATATACTATACTAAAAATTAGTTAATTTCCAAATATTAACTTTAAGCATATTTTGCTGTACATCAATGAAGACGAAATGCCTTATCTTATTACTCTAAAACTTTCATAAACAAGTATTAATATAATTAAATGGATTTCTTTCATATTTATTTGATTCTGCATGTTTTCTGCCACTGCTCTACAATTTTCTAATCCCTATCAGTACTCAGAAGTACTTTTTTTTTATGCTCAAGACTGTGTTCTCTTCACTCAGAGTTCATCATTGGGTTTTTTCAACAAACTACTCTGAAGGACCTGCTCTGCTGATTTGAAGGCATAGATGACATAAGACAAATGTTCTCTGACAGCATCCCAGTTATCAGCATTACTGTTTTCTTGAGCTATTTTCAAGGAAGTTACAAGGTGTGGAAAAATAATCCCTTGATAGTTGTTATATGGGTCGGGTCCATACAGTACATGCCTAAAAATAAAAAAATAACTTCACAAAATGAGTAGAATTAAACAGGCCAAGATATGCATTTTGTTCATAACTTCACAAAAATACATAAAAATCACCTATTTACTATAAAGTTTATCCAATAAAAGTAGGTATAATTGTTTTAGTGTTTAGTGTCAGCATTATTTTTTTAATACAAATCCTTAAGTTCACAGAATTTTTACTTCAAATATTTCTGCTCAACTGATATTTTCTAAATAATTGTAATATTATGGTCAATAAAACTTTCTTTTGTACTTAGAAATACATGTATTCTATTTAAACCAATATTATCATCTAATGTGTCTCTAATTAAAATTTGTATTTCATGAGCTAAGACATTCCAAAGATTAACCTTGGTAAAACTTTATTAATCAAGCAACTTATTTCTAAGTTTTTTCCAGTATGGAAAGACCTAATGCCATACAATAAATTCATTATGATTATCCTGTAGATATTACCTAATACCACACAATAAAGAAGTGATATAATGAATAAAACAGCAAAAGTTATTTCAAAATTTGTTTCTGATTTTTTTCTCACCTGTAATAGGGACTGACAGCAACACCGTATGGCAGAAGAAAAGCACGTTCAAGTTGCAAAAGTCTGTCATTATATTCTCGCATGGCTAACAAGAGACTACAAAAATATTTGTTATAAATTTAGTATATTTTAAACATTATTTTTATCATTCAATAAGTGTAATCTTGTTCTCTATTTATACTTCTATTAGTGACCTGTATGAGTTATCTGTCCACAATGAAAGTCTCATAAAATAAAGCTACATTGAATTTTAACTTTAAAATTATATTAAACAAGCTTAGAAAAACACTGTAAAAGAGTTTACAAAAATCGGAATTTTAGTTGCATAACACAATCTGATCTTACATACTGAGATTACAGCTTGGGAATGAGTAAGAGATAATTGAGAAAAAAAGTTTCATAAAAGTTTTAGGTTGATATACTACAAATATAGAACAATAAAAAATGTTTGTCAATTTCAAGACACGAGTTTCAAACAAATATTAAAGTATTCAGTTTGTTTTGGACATTTGAGAAAGTGTTATTTAACATACTGGTAACTTAAGAAGGCACTAGACTGTGTGGATTTAAAGATCAGATCAAAAACTTAATATTTAGCACTTTATGTGTTTTCATAATTATCTTTAACATGAAAAAAATAAATATTGAAATATTTCTAGTAATCAACGAAAATCTTTAGGACATTTTACTGATTTGTTAGCTTGTATACCTACCATAACTTATTTCTTCTTAAAAATCTTATTTTTCAAAATATTAACAAATTTAGAAATAATGATTTCAAACACCAGACCAGAAAAATTAAGAGTACAAAATACTGATCAAAACCATGAAGATATCTGCAATAAAACAATAAGTTTAAAAAAAGTCAAAAACATAACAATGGAGTGAATACTTAGTAGAAAGAAACACACTGTTAAGAGAAGACTTTAATCTGTGACAAAATTCTAAATCTCAGAAACATCAAGTTAGGAGAGTTATACAAGTCCAAGAAAGAGTTCCAAAATTTTAAAACATAACACTAAATTTCTTGGTGAAAGATGGTCTTGTGGTTAGTGTTAAGGATTCATAGTCAAATGGTTGTGGATTTCGAGGCTTTAATCTATCTAGCAGTATAATTGGAATCAGTAGTTTGATGAAGGTAACCTCCAATAGACAAGCATCCCATTTAGGGTGAACTTATCACAATTCACATATACTTGTGCCACAGGAAACTGAAGTTTACCACAAACCAAGTGTCTCTTTTTAGGAGGGAAAAGGATTAACTTACATACAAAATTTTTAGACTGAGTACTTCTCTAACAACTCACCTTAAAATATTTATCAAATTGTAAGAATAAACCATACCTTAAAGACAGAACAAAAAATGAAGAATAAAAAGATTACCAATAACCCAAAATTACCAGGATATTGACATAACAAGGCTATTTCTCATAGATCACAATTCCAAGATGTGATTCAAATCAAGGGCTGTCCATCAAGTTGGCAAATAAATCTCCACAATTGGAGTTCAAATTATTAGTTGAAGATTAATGATGTTTCTGTCCAACCACCACTGAATAGATGCATGTGGTTGACCTCTACAGGTAATGCTACCCCACAACATCTACCACTGGTCTGTCACTTCTCATAATAAAGAACATAGATGGGTCCATTAATGGGAACACAGTTTCCAGGAAACCCAAAAGTCAAGAGACAGACAATAAAAAAATGAGTTGGAGAGACCAAAGCAAGTATTGCCTGCAAAATAATAAAATGGTTGTGCAGCATCTGAATCCAGCCGCAATCAAAAACCTCCTAAATATATTTCAAACGTTGTTTTTGAGCAAAACTTTATATTTTATCTCTTATTTTCTCTATCCTAACTCTAACAAGGTTGGTCAATTTGATCAATCTCATAACCACCATAAAAAAATACAAAATAATTCTAAATTTTTTTTTCTTTCTTGAATAACTTCAAATTGTGATGTGAAACTACATTTGTTTATCCTAAACAGCTTTAAAGTTGTAACAGTATACATCTGTTTCTACTTACATTTTATTGTTTTATTGCACTTTGAACCATATCTAACTAATAATCCCTCCACAGAAGCTGTAAATCACTTGGTAGACATGTAGCTCATGTTACCCTATCGAATTACTTGCAAGTTGCCCATGATTGTACCTCGTGAAAAATTATTTTCTTTATTTTTTCTAATCTGATCTTATTTAACCTAAAATTTCCTAATTTTTACATCTTAGTTACTTTTATAATAATAATAGATAAAGAATAAACATGAAAAATAGGAAATATGATACTTATCCGTTTTTTGTTGTTGTTGTCGATTGCCAATGAAACTGAACTCTATAAACATATTAAAGATTTTAATATGTTGAACTTTGATGTAGTCTTTATACACACTTATAAGGGTTGAAATATATGTTCAGACATTGTTTTATGTATGTATTGATATAATAAGATGAAAAAACGCTTACCAATACAAATATGAAGAAATGTTTTTGATATGTAACATGTTATATTCTAAATCCAATGATGTTAATAGTTTACTTAATGGTATACACTTATTTATTTAGCATTGTTGGTTTGATTTGTCTTAACAATATAAATTCAAGAATGTTTGATATTATTTTAATATAATATGAATTTTCTAAACATGTGTATTAATGTTCGATTGCCTGAGTAACAACATTATAATGAGTGATTTATTTTAAATTTCATACTTCTCAGAGGGATGGTAAATAAATTAGAGGAGAGGATACGCTGGAGAGCAAACGTCACAATTCTGATACTAGGAGAAATTTAGAATTTTTTAAATATTGCCTTATAAAATTAAGAACTTAGAACTTACATAATATTAAAATTTGGATTATTAGCTACGTTTTGATACCAAGTTTATTCATATACCATGATAATAAGGTACTTTAACCCTACCATTATCAATTGGGTGGGATCCACCAATCTCGTAACTGCAAAAGTATCCATGAGAATAATTATACTATGGTTTTTGATAATGTATATGTATCTTTACAAAATTTTGGAGATTATTAGTAAACCTTAATGAGACTTTTGTACACAAAATATCAGATTTTTGTACTAAGTCTTAAGGTTTCTTAATTACCCCTTAACTGCTGCAGGAACAGCTCAGTTGCCATTTTCTGACTCACAGATAAAACTGAGTTGCCATCAATCACAATAAAATGGTAATTTTCGTCATTCGCATAGAGTTATAGTTATATGTGTGCGACTGATGGATATTTCCATCATTCGCAGCTGAGACATAGAACTTCAATGAAGGAAATATCCATCATCTGCAGTTAATGGGTTAATGTTTTTATCATGCCTTTTTTCTTTTTGAATGTTGGCTATCCAACATGTAAAGGAATTTTGATTTTAAGATTAAAAATACTTTTATGCATCAGAAAGTTTTCAAAGTTCATAT